AACTAAAGTCCACTGAATTCATTCGCAGCCGTATTGAAAATCCGCTGAGTTAGAAGACGACCGTAGTCAAAATCAGCCGAAGGCAGCCGTATGAAAGCGAAATCGTATCAAAAAGCGGCCTTTGAAAGCTTTGTTTCCAAATTATTAATACGTATATAAACTTGGTGTAAGGTGTAACTTTGCCTTAAAGCAAGATGCATGAATTTTTGAACACGTGTAAATAATCTACTTAACTATAAACAAAATATTAATTCATGAGCGCATTGCAATGTGTAAAACTATCGCAGATTATTCAATTTTGTACAAATTTTCTAAACATGTTAGTTATTTTTTATAAATGGTTTCACAATTAAATATTATTGAACAAGAAAAAAACGTGTAGTATGTTCATTAAAACAGGATCCAAAATCGTCAAAAAATTTGTTAATCAATAACTGAAAAACGACTCGACCGATCATTGACAAAAACTAATCAGCACGATTCTCAAATAGTATCTTTGTAATGGTTTTTGGATTTTCAAAATCGATTCACGAATTTAGACTATAACGTGGACAAAAAATTGACACATTTGACAATCCTCGGCCAATCGTGAAACAAAAGTAACCATCACGAGTGCTTACCGAATTTCATCGATTTTTCAAATAGGATTGCGCATTTTTGAAAAAACGTCGACTAAAGATGAAATTTTGCCTCACTAAATTCGAAGAAACGATCCGTCCGATTTCTTAAAACTGATCAGCACGATTCCCAAATGATATCTTTCAAAAAGTTTCTGAATGTTTAAAACCAATGCAGGATTTTTGGCTGAAACATTTACGAAAATTTGTAGACTTTTCTGTTGATTAGAAACGGCTTGGCTGATTGTTACACAAAACTGACAGACGGTAGTCGTTATCTAGTTACATCAAATGACTTAAATTTTTTAAATAGATTTACCCGGTTTTCAGAGAAAACGTTGACAAAAAACTAAAAATCAGCTCATATACACACTTTTTAACAAATTTGGTCTCGAACGATTCAGAATGACTAGAAACATAGAGAAAACATAAAAATTACAAGTCAAAAACATATTTGATATTTTCTTATTATATTAATTTCAAGGGGGGCCAAAAAATGCACGCAGGCGGTTATATACCCAGGCACTGCCCTGGCAGTACCCTGGCATGTTAAAACACAATTTTCGGTACGGTTTCCAAAATATTAAATGTAGCAAATAATTAAATTATAACGATATTCAAATAACAATATTCAAATTTTAAATTTTTTTTTGGAATTCAGGAGAATATGGAACATTTCTGAACTAATAATTAGTATAATGTAACTATTATGAAGTATATTAACCATCTGACTTATACTAAATTTCTAGTATAAATGTAATTACCCTTATTTCATTATGATGATCAGCTTCATCACTATTTTCTTTATCTGCTACATCAGCAGTACTTTGTGATATTTGACCGCTTGGGACATTTGCAGTTGAAGACTCTGAATGTAATAATGAATTAAGAGGCATGCCCAACTGCTCTATTATAGATGAAGCTAAATCAGTTCTGGAACGCTTTGTAGCATCCTGTTTAGATGTATCTTTCTCATATTCTAAAAATACATTCGATTGCCAATAAATTAAATCACAAAGAACTTTATAGTTGATCATTATCAAATGCATTTAAAACATTGTCACAAATAACATATTTAGAATAGTATTGAATAATAATTTTTACCAGTGCTTATGGTGAATTTAATATGTTCAGGTATTTGAGCATTTTTCATAATTGCAGTGAGAACTACAAGTTCGGAAGATGTTATAGAAGAATTGCCAGCACATAGAGATACCAGCGGAGAAAGCATTTGCTTTAATGTAAGAACAGTTTCTCCTCGAGTTGTATACTGTCTCAACTGTTGTAATACATAATTTGCCAAAATGGATGAAGCTTGTGTCACCAAAGGTATTTGATTTTTTGCCACTAGTTTGAAAAATAAATCATTATATCAGGCAATAAAGCATTGTAAGCCGATTTTATAATCATACTAACCCAAAATACATTTTGAACTAATGTAGTCTGCTGCTAATGAAGCAAAAGCTAAATAAAAAGTTTCATACGCCGGGTCGTGATCTAATAATTCATTTTCGCTGTAAATAAAACCAAAACGTCATCGTAAAGTGTTTTTAAAATACAACTCATTGGAAATGTCAAATGAGAAGCGTTTGACTTTTGATCAACGCAATAAGTTAAACACAAAAATTAATCATATACCTTTTTATAATAGCTTTACAAAGTTCTATTAAATCAGATTTCGTAAAACAACCGAAACTAGCAGATAAAATGGATTTCACAATTGAAGTCCATTCAACACCTCCACTATGAGCAGCCATTTTTGTAGGATTTTTGTCTTTATCGGACTCCCGGAGACGTTAAATATATATAGACTACATGATTTTGTTTTTTTCGTTAATAATATTGACAAATTCCAACAGATGTCAGAAGCATTTTATGCCTTTTAGTTTGGAATCTTTTAATATGTTTAATAGTTTTGTATTGTCAAATACAATGGTTCGACTACATTATTATCATTTTTTCATCAAATTTCTTTAATCAGCTTCATATTTTGTTAAAACTTAAGATTGAGAAATTTATAATTTAACAATGTAGAAGTAAGGTTATCATAACTTAAACGTGGCGCCATCTTACGAGCTTTTATCCATTCGTGAAGAAATTAGTATTCACCTTATATATACTTCAAAAATGCGTTTCGCAATGGTGATTTAAACTTACAGAGAAATATATTTTTCACTTTATTTTAGTTTACAAAAGACTTTTATTTAATTTTTTTAATGTGTAATGTTGTGTATTTGCAAACTTAACTTTATTTAAAGTTTGTCATATAACTTGATTCACTTTAAATGCATGTGCAAGAGTTATGCTATGATTTGTTTTGTCGTATGACGCTTTTGTCGGCAAAAATGACAGTTTGTTCTTGAAAATCAACGGCCGCACAAATTGTAATATTGCTTTGTATATTTATCATTATTACAAATTAATAAACTTCTTGACGCTGTTTATATATATATAATAATGGGAACTCCGCAATTAAACATTGCTTTACACCGAAAAGTGGAAGAGAGGCTACATCAGACTTTACACAAAAATCTATCTATTTTATTATTAGCTTATACACCGACAGTAGAATTCACTAATATTTTGAAACAGGTACGTCAAAAACTCTTTCAAAAAGCTAATCTGTTAATGTTAATGTTATAAAAATATGTAAAACTTATTTCATTTATAGGGAATGTTTATGAAATCGAATCCCAATGCTTTTCTTCACACTGCTCATTTTTTATTGAATATTATTGATCACGGAGACTTTAAGAGCAAGTTTGAGTGGCCTTTGTATGAAAAACGTATGGAAACTACATTTAAAAATACTTTTAGAAGCTATTTACCTGAGATGAATAATGTAAGTATATTTAATTTAATAACTTGGTTAACACCCATTTAAATTAGTAGCACATTTGTTTATATGCATAATTAATTTTCATCAAATATGGTCTTAAACTTAACAAAATATTTTAGAAATACCCATTCATTAAACTACCACCAGTAAAAGTTTCATTTATGGTTACACCTGGAGGCTTTCATTTTACTACTATGATGCTCAAGTTAAGTGAGTTAGCAATGATCGTCTATTTAAAGAAAAATGGAAAAGAAGTTTACATACCAAGTAATGAACCTAGTGATTTAGATGACATAAAAAAGGTGCTTAAAGATAAGTGTGATCAAATTGATCAAAAGTTAAATTTTCGAGTAGCTTATCGCAATAGATTCTTCAAAGAAGCTGAAAAAGAAGTGACGTAAGTTACTTAATATGATTCAGAAATATTTTGCAAAAAAATATGTTTGTTTTAGAACATTTTTATTTCAGAATGATTGAGAATTGCATAGCCGTTGATAAAAAGAAATTGGAAACTATAAAAGAAAATTGGAAACAGTATATACTAGATGTTGCTGATCTAACGGATACAGAGAAGTATTTTATTTATATCAGATTAAAGGTTGTGAACAAACATCACATGTGGTGAATTTCTATTTCATAGTCTGAATAACTATCTTTTGATGTAATTTTGAGAGTAATTAACTATGTGATGCATAACCAAAATTTTTAAATATAAAACAATGTTTTAATTATCAACTTCATAAAATAACTTTTTTATTTATAAAATTAAAGTAAAATTATCGTGCCAAAAATTATAACCTTTAGTTCTCTATATAATATTTTCATCTATTATAAACTTCTCCACAAAGTTAAATCACAAGCTTTTAATCTGTGTTAAATGATATAATATATATATATATATATATATATATATATATATATATAACATAATATAATATAAAGTAGCCAATAATCACTATTTTATAGAAAGATGTTAATTGATGATCCAAAGAAAGCGATATCAATAATGAAAAGTGAACTTTTGAAATTACTTGAGAAAAATGAAAATTTATCAAAGCTGCTTGAAAGTAAAGTAAAAGTGTATGAGGAAATTGATCATTTGTCGAATGTGCTTTTAGAGCGCACAGAGAAGAGCCATTGCTTGCAATATGACAACAATATTAAAGAACTTTGTTCGCTCAGAAAATATGTTGCAGAAGAATATATAGTAAGATTTCTGTAAATTAACATAATTTGCATGATCAATTAGTTATTTCTAAAATCTTATATACAGTTTTTATAACCTAAAATTTTGAACAAATTAACTGTACATTAAACATAACATTTTTCTTGTAGTCCGTCGTTGAGAGAATTGTTCAAAAAGGTAAACTGAATTTTCCGCTACTTTTGAACTGTTTAACATCAGTATTCAATGAAGTAGCTCCATTAATGCCTCAACAAAAAGTAAATAAAGATGCTATGATAAGTATTCAAGACAACTGCGCTATTTTGAAAAATGTATTTGCTGAGTTTGGTAAATTAAATGAACGTGTTTATTTTTTGTCAAATGAATTGCAAAGAGATCTTAATCGAGGTTAATATATTTATATATATATATATATATATATATATATATATATATATATGTAGTATGAATGTATAATAATTAGATAATATTACAATATGAATTTTATATTTTATCTATATTTTCAGCTCGTAGTGATTTTGAAAGTAGACCTGAATGGGATGATTCACCTGTGATATCATCCCTTAATTTCCTATTACCTGGTTCATCTCCTTATAGGGAATTAAAATTACATAATGATACAAATAGTAAGTATAATTATAAGTATGATTATATTATCGGAGCCAGTTTTTATCAGGCGTATATAGAATTTTTTAGAGAATGTTATCAAATTCTGAGATATTAGAATATTACAGACGTTTTTTAGGAATAATATTTTTCATCTGTTTCATATTTCTTTTTTTAACACTTGTTACTGATAAATACTGAATTTTTATATATTATAATATATATATATATATATATATATATATATATATATATATTAATTATATTTTAGAAGAAGATTCAGTTATGACAAGTGGAAGTAGATCAACAAGTATGTTTGATATTAGCAAGTTATCTGATAATTCCTCGAATAGAGCCATTGTGCAACCTGCTTGGTTGAACTCAAATATGATGTCTGTTAGAAAACCAAAACGAAAACCATTAAACAAATGTATGTACAGAAAAAGCATTTATCAGCTTACATTGACTTTAGCAATGTAATTTTATTGTTGTTGACTGAAAAATTTAAAGTTCTTAATTATATAAGTAGTATTATTTTATTTACAGCAAACCAACATTACCAAAGTTCTCCTTGCTTAACATCACCTTTGGTAAGAAATATTTCTCGGAAACAAGGATTAAATAATTCTCAAGAAAATACTGGTGATAAAAATGTGAATTTAATGGATTCAGTGAAAAGTTTCCACCACAAGTTTCCAGCAATGCAGAGAGAAGTACAATCAACAAAATTGTGTGACAACTTTGTCATTCCAATCAAATCAAACATTGACAACTTTGTGACTCCAATCAAGCAATGCAGAAAATCAATTATACCAAAACGGGATGAAATTATAAAACGCTTGAGCTTAGTGCCTGATGCAATGCCAAGACTGACATTAAATTCATGTGCTATTGTCAGTCCCCGTGGTGATTCAGATTTGCATTCTCCATTAGGAATCAAACAAACTATTGATGAATCAGTGACTAACAAGTTTAGTACAAGTTATATTGTTGATGAAGAATTATTAAATGACTGCTTAAATTCACCACTATTTGAGAATAAATATGTAGAGAGCTTAGTGAGCGGTTTTAGCGCAAGACCTTCAAAAAGATATAGCATAGGTCTTGGTGAGAATTTGCTAAATGTAAGTTCACCTATTGATCTTAATTATTCATTAGATTCAGATTAATTTATATTTAAGTATAAGTAAGTGATGTTTTCTGCTGAAAGATTTGTTTTTCTGTTTAATATTTTGTTTCAATCAGGAAAGTAGTGATTGATAAAATATTCTTCACAAAATTTACATATTGTTTATGTTAAATAATTGTTAATTGACGTTTATCTGCGTACTAATAGCATAGTTAGCATTAAAAATTTCTAATTTTGTGATGTGCAATTTAATATTTAAATATTACATATATCGTTAACTAAAACTAAAAATTTAAATTTGTTATATAAAACACATTCAGGCATAATTAATGCATTTTTTCAGAATGTATTGTAAGTTACAATTTTAATCTATATTTTGCATTGTGAAATTTTTATATTATTAATATTTAGTAATACAAAGTTTTCTATTGAATTCTTTATTTTTTGAAATGCAAAGTTTATTATGTGGTGTATAATATATAAGCATAAATTCTATTTTTATTCAAATATTATTTGTATAATTCTTCTAATTTAAAATATCATTAATTAATAACTAACTCTAAGAATTTGAAATATTCTAATATTTATTACCTGGATAGGTCAATATTCATGCTGCACTTCTAAAATAAGCATCTGCATATAGCACATCTTTTCTTGCCACTGTGTTTTGCACTGCATTTTTAGGATTTAAATTTATAATTCACTATATGAATTGTATCTTGTCATTTGTTTGTTCTTGCTCAATTGGAATATGATTCCTTAATACTAGATATATAATTGATTTGATTTTGTGCACTCATGAATTATTATTTACTGATCTGTTTCAACCTATTTAAGAGAAGTTTAATAAGAGATTTTATATAAAAAATACAAATAGAATATAAAATTTATGTTGGATTCTATCTATAGATAAATACACACTTACCATTAACTGGTTTATGTAATATTCATACGGAATAGTATCAGTAGCTGAATCAACAGCTGCTACCATCATTTCATCAAGTTCTTCCTTTGTTCCAAAAAAAATAGTTATATATATATATATATATATATATATATATATATATATATATAAGTAAGTTCTTGTGGGACGATATATATATATGCATGCATGTGTGATGTGTGTGTGTGTGTGTGCAAATATAATATATGTATACCCATGTACAAATTTAAGTCTATTAGAACTATATAACTAGTTGTAAGTGATATTTTGCCTTAAAGCAAGTTGCATGAACTTCCCGATATCGACTTAGTCAATAATGAATAAATTAATTTATGAATGATTTATAAGTATTCCAAGTAAAATTATTGAAAATCGAACACATGTCTAATGCCAGTCCGAGTGCTTTCTAAAAGCAAATGTTCAAAATTGAATAAATTTTTATAATTATACTAGTTTCCGTAATTATTTATTAAGTTTATTAAGACCAGGTACTATATCGCCATAACAAGTAAAATCTCTAATTTTAACAAACGTCTAGAAAAACGCTGCTATAATTTTTTCAAATGTTGATGATTTTTTTAAATTGAACGACTTGTCGTAGGGCCGTAATATTTTAGTATGATAAAGACTATGGTATCTACCGTCAAAAAAAAATTATTAACACTAGAAAGACGGATGATATGAGTATACCAACATTGCCTGCAAACAGTCAAAATGACTGCGTCATGAAAAAAATAAATAATGCGTTTAGAAATTTGTTTAAAATTAATTTTTAATATTTCATGTATCATTTACATTTATATAAGTTATCTATGAGTGCTAAAAATAAAAAAAATAGTTCATCTGAAAACAAAAAGTTAATTACTCTTACAATTCATGCAAATATAACTTCTTTTTCTGAGTACATTCATCATCTTTTTATGAGTACATTTTTCGCACACATATTTGTTGCAACTTTATTATGACAAAGTCTTATTTGGCAAAATTTTCTTTTATTGGTATTTGATGTCTGTGGGTCATCATTTTCCTTTGATTTTTTTTTTTTTTGATGTCGTGGAAAGCTGTTCTGCCAATTCAAACAAAAACTGTTTTCTTTGGATTTTTATTGCTGTCGCTTCCTTGTAAAGAATCCAAGCATTTATTGCAGCCAAATCCAAAATATTGAAAAAGATTTGCAGGGGCCACCTACGTGAACTAGATTTTACGGTATATTTCTTCTTCTTTGCACTTTTTTATGTGTTTGATAATATAATTATCTATTATCAACGAAAATTCACTGACAAGATCACCTTTTATAAAATTCCTTTTTGCGTATCTTGTTGGCCCTTTTGGAAACACAAGTAGATGATGACCTTCCTGGAGTATCACCTTCGGCAATTTTGGTCCATACAGTACCATCGGCAGCTGTTTCCGTTTCTTGAATGCTTTCATCAGTTTCTGAGTCACTAGTTAGCACCCTACACCTTCTCTTGGGTACACGGATGGCACTTTCATTTCCATCAATATAGGGATCACCTCTTCATCGCTACCCTCTGAATCAGATGATTCACGTGGAACATAATCCGATTCATCTTCAAATGATTGTGCCTAATTTTCAGCATTTGATTCTATGTCGGAACACTCTTCACTTATGTTTGTTAGCGTTTGCAATAATTCACTTCTCTTCGACATATTATTTATAAGCTCTAAAAAATCAACTGAGCAACGCGTTATACTGAAAGTTACTACGTGAAAAAGACCGGTCCAATGTCAATACTTACCAAAATTCGGTTATTTCTATGTAACAAATGCATTATCGCTTATTCGAGATTTCTATAGCAGTCAAAATGACTGTTTTCCGTCCATGCTGGCATAATATGTAAGAATATAGGAAATGAAAGTGAGATAAGGCAAATAATACGATTTATATAAGCATTTATATGTTATATAAAAAGTCAAAAAAAATCACAAAGCTGCGACTTCAAATACACAGTTATTTTTTTGATTGAAAATGAAAAACAGACAAAATGACTGCGTCCATCTTTCTAGTGTTAAACTCGTTGAATTTTTTTTTTTTAACAATTTATTACAAGAAAACGGCCCGTCCGATCTTTACCAAAAAGTAATCAGCACGATTCCCAACCAATATCATGCGAGCGGTTTTGAATTTTCAAAATCGATTCAGAATTGCGGGCTAAAACGTGGACGAAATATGTTCGATTTTCTGCTATTTACAAAGAAACGGCTTGGCTGATCGTCGCAAAAAATTGATAAACACTGTAGTCATCATCGAGATACATCGAATGGCTTTTAAAATTTTGAAATCAGTCCAGCCGTTTTTGAGAAAACGTCGATGTACGGTGAAAAATCTGTTCACATACACACACATACATTTTCTAAATTTGGTCTCATTCGATTCAGAATGGCTTGAAACGTCGAAAAAACATAAAATTAGCGATTCGAATTTTTTGATGACAACATACTTATATAAACTTTTCCTTCGGGAAGTTAAAAATGTAGATGAAATAAATATGGCAATGAATAAATATTTTGATTATAATTTTTCTTATAATAATTAATATTATTATTAAATTGAAAATTACTTGTATTAGAGGTTCACACTCATGTGTCACCAGCTCAGTGAGATAGGCTCTGTCCAGAAATCCTTTATTATCTTTATCTAATACTTTAAATGCTTCTAAAAGTTTCTCTGGCGTGGCTGGTTGCATTCTGAAAAGAATTCAGTTTAAATATTTCATAAAGACAAGCAAAGATAAAAATAAAAATGGTATCAACTGGAGGTGAGAAGGGGATAATAAAAAGAATACGAAGCGATGCTAAAAAAATACATTAATTTATTCATCGAGAAAATGAATTGAATTGAAATGAATTGTTAGTAAAAGAGAAAAAACTGATCCGTTAATATTCCAATCAATTCAACCAAGAAAGAGAATGATATAAGCTAAGAAAAAAGACTCTGTGCATATTAAGAAACGAACTCGATGGATTTGAAAAAGTTTGATTAGATGCAATATTCAGATATTTAAAAAGTTATTGTAATTTTATTAAATTTTTAATATATTTTAAAATAAATTAAAAGTTTAATAAAATTACAATAACTTTTTAAATATCTGAATATTCTCTCAATATGTTTTTTTTTTCATATCCATCCAGTTCGTTTCTTAATATGCATAGAGTCCTTTTCCTTAAATCATATCATTCTCTTTCTTAGAATTATTTGAATTAATTAGAAATAATTATTTCTAATATTTCTAACTTTTTTCTAAAAAAAATTAAAATTCATTTTTCATAAAAAGTCATGAACTTACTTATGATCATTGATCAATTCACAAACATAAGGCAAAAAGTTCGCTAAGTGTATTATACCAGAACAATCCCGATCTTCCGTTCTTAATATTATATCTTGAACTTCAGCCTCAGTTGGTACGCAACCTGTAATACCCAAAATCAATATTAAAAACCATTTGATGTTTTTTATTTAAAACATATATAGACATATAATATATTACCTAGAGCTCTTAATATAGTTCCAATTTCTCTAACGTCAACACTCTTGTTCCCAGCATGATCGAAAACACAAAATGCATCAGCAACACGTCGTTCTAAATCATTGGTGATATCGACTGAAAGAAATGTTTTTCATACTTCAGTAAATCGAAATTAAACATGAAAAGATATGCAAATGTATAAATATGTTTAAATATACAGTCATACAACTAATGGTCAAAACATACTGGTACGTTTATTATCTACATACCAATTAACATAAAAGTAATACTATTTTCAAATAAAATATGATATAAAAATAATTTACCACATACCGTGAAACTCTTTTTGAGGTTGCTCGCTTTCCTCCATTATTCACTGTTTTATAATTGAACTGATTTTTTTAACAGTTGTTTGGAAAACATTTGTTAGATCAATAAAAGTATCTGAATATAAATGCCCACTACGCGCGCATCTTTAACATATAAACATTATGGCTAGAAATATTAAGATAATTATTTATTATATAAGTATACCTATATTATCAGGTATATTGTGGCAGCAGAAGCGCAGCGTGAGAATTCTTGAAGCCGCCTATAAATATAAATTTGTTTAGTGGGCCCTTGGAGTTAAAATTTCTCAAAAATAAAAATAGAGGTTTGTAGTCCAGAGGGTAATAATTTAAGGCTGATGTCATTTTTAATTACGAATTATACAAAATGGAATAAAAAAACTTGATTCAAAAATTAAAAAATAAAAAGTGGCTAGCCCTTATCAATGTGATAATTAACATCAATTGTGACGAAATTTATGACACGAGAGAATTATATATATATATATATATATATATATATATATATATATATATATATTAGGGTGGTCCTTAAAATAGTCATTTTCGAATTTTCTTGCTCCCAGGGGCTCAAGTGGTTCCAAATTGATAAAAAACAATTCTCTGAAAGTTTTAGCTCTTAATATTAACGTTTAGATAGAGCGCAATTCAATCAAAGTTTTGTATGGAAGCAGCATGAACAAATTTTCAAAAATTTTAAAAATGTGTTTTAGATATAATTTAGCGAACAAATGAATGAATAAAACTCATTCATTTGTCGATAAGTTATACCTAAAACATTTTTTTTAAATTTTCAAAATTTTTTCCATGCTATTTCCAAACAATCTTTGATTGAATTGCGCTCTATCTAAACGTTAATATTAAGAGCTAAAACTTTCAGAGAATTGTTTTTTATCAATTTGGAACCACTTGAGCCCCTGGGAGCAAGGAAATTCGAAAATGACTATTTTAAGGACCACCCTAATATATATGTATATATATATATATAGATATATATATATACAGAGCCCGTCCTACCTAGAATGCGATGCAAAAATGCGGGCGCACGCTTTAGGGGGCGCCAAAACGAGATTCGGATATGAAATTTATACTATAGTTTTTTCAATATCATTGAATTTGGGCAATGCTTTTAAAATATGTTAAAAATTTCACTTTAAAACAAGAGTCTGATACACGATGTGAAAGTAAAGATGAATACAATTCGGCCCTTACGATATGAATTAGGAGAAGAGTTTACGATGAAATTTTGGATATTTTAAATATTGAAAATTAAATTTAAAAAATCCAACATGATTCAAGTACCAGTATTGTATTTATTAATGAAAGATTTTTTTGCTCTCTTGGCATTATTTTCTCAATAGAATAAATCGTGCGATTTTATCGCGGATATTAATAATATCCCCAAAATAAGTAAAATGTTTCAAAACCCAAATATTAATATTAAATATGCATAAGAAACAATTGAAAATTTAACTATAGTCGGTATTGGTATTTTGCCTTGAGGAAAGTTACATGAACTTCCCGATATGTGTAAATAATCGACTTAATCAATAAAAAACTAATAAATTTATGAGTGATTAAAAGTATTCCGAGTGGATTTATTACACATAATTGAAAAAGAACGAACACGTTTCTAAAAGCAAATTTTCGAAAATCAATAATTTGTTTTATAATTGAACCAGTTTCCGTAGGACTTTAAAGGTTTAGTGTGTTCATTAAGACCAAGTACTCTATCGTTATATCATAAGTAAATCATCTAATTTTAATTTTAACAAGTCAAAAAAACTATATACTTATTTTCTCAAACTTTGATAAATTTTTAAAATTAAACTACTTGTCGTAAGTCCGTAATATTTCAGTAAGTTCCATAAGACCATGATATAAATCGCCAAAAAAAGTTCCATAAAAATCGGCTAAATTTTTTTTTCAACAGTTAATTACAAGAAAACGGCTCAGTAGATTTTCACCTAAAACTATATAATCAGTATCATTCCCAAGTAATATCTTTCGAACAGTTTTCGAATTTTTAAAATCGATTCGGAAAAAAAAAACCCTTTATTACAAGAAAAAGGCCCGGCCGATCTTCACTAAAAACTAATCAGGTCAATTCCCAACCAACATCTTTCAAACGGTTTTTGAATTTTTATTGACGAATATTTTTTCACTTTTCTGCGATTTACAAAGAAACGGTTCGGCCGATCGTAGCGCAAAACTGACAAACGATAGTCCTCATCGAGATACATTGAATAGCTTTTAAATTTTTGAAATCGGTCCTGTCGTTTTTGAGAAAACGTCGATTTACGGCAAAAAATCTGTTCATATACACACACACATACTATTTCCAAATTTGGTCTCATTCGATTCAAAATGGCTTGAAACGTCGAGAAAACATAAAATTAGAGAATCGATTTTTTTTATGAAAACAAACTTCTCCTTCGGGAAGTTAAAAATACTCTTGCAAACAATTTACAGAACTTACTGAATTTTTTGGATGTCCTAAAAAGTTTGGATGGAAAATAAGAATTTAAAAATAGTTCGGTGGTGTGACAACGAAAGAAGACATGACAATTTGATTATTCGCAACCTGCAAATCGCTGTATAATATATATTTGTGTGTATATGTAGAAATTCTTGTAAAGCGTCTCCAAAACCCCTAAATAAATTTGCGAACAAAAAGAATTGAAAAAGTTATTGTACCATACGTTTCGACATTTTTTTTTTGTCACGAGTGAGCCTAGAAAAAAGTAGACTAAAATGAGAAGCAATTTTTGAAGACATACATAAAATGCTTTATTTTGTCCATCACATGTAAAATCAACTGTGATAAATATATTTTATTTACACTCATTTATTATTACATATAATATTAGCAGAACTTAATCGCCTGTATTAGGCCAAATGTTAAGAACATAAAATTAGTGAACATTTCACATTTGTATTGCACCGAGTAATATTTTTATTAAGACCATGTCATAACACATTTCAATATACAATAAATAATTAAAACGCTTTATATAATAATTTCCGGATTAATAACTATATATATATGTATAAGTTATAAGTACACATACAAAAAAGCCCACTTTTCGATGAAGCTGCATATATCGTAATAGTTTAATAGATTAATTTCTAGAATAATTTCAAAATTATTTATATTACTATATATTTATTAATCCTTAAAGCATTGCTCAAATTGCATAAATCAACATAAATATAAGATAATTTAAAAATGATTAAATTATTTTCAAAAGTTAAGGTTTCCAAGACACGAGCTTTCCAAAAACGCCAGTCTAAGCACATTTTTGAAATGGACTATTCTCATTAGTACACGATTTAATTCGTATTTTGATTAATAATTTTTAATACTATATTGTAAATTATATAATTTTACTAAAATGCATATATTTTAATTGTTAGAAACTAAATTAAAGCAATGAATAAATAATATACGATACAATGTATAATAATACAGTTTAATATTTATTGAAATATCTGTAAATAAATTAATGGCTCTATTTGCTCATTGATATGTTTATAGACAGAATATCTCAGTATATTATTGCAAGACTGATAATTTGTACTGTTGATAAATGTTTTTACACCTCAAAATTGGGTAATAACCCAACGACACGCTTTTTGAAGAATATTAAAGAAGAAGTATTAAATTTAATCGTATCATAATAAATAAATTTAAATGTTAATACTTATCATCATAATTATTATCTATCTCTTTAATAGAAAAACGCGTTTTGGCAAATTTGGCATATTCATTTACAAATATATGCAAAATGCTGCTAGTGCTAGCATGATCTAATAATTTATAATTATTTTATTTAATAAAGCTCTCTCATCTTTCTCCAATGGCAGACTCAAAATTTATGGGTATCAAAAATTTATCTAACCATAGAAATATGCCAGAGCCTTATAAAAAACATTATTAAACTTATTTATAAATAAAAAATACTATACGTTGTATGGCTGCAATCAAGATCGCGTTCATTCTAGGTCAATATAATATAAATACCATAGTATAAATCTACAAATAACCAATGATAAATGACAAATATTATATTAAGTATCAACTTTAGCCGAATTTCGTATTATATCTTTTAATAAAAGAATTATTTATAAGACGAGAGCCTTAAGTTTAATCAGTTTAATTTTAATTTAAAGAATTGCTTGAAAGCAGTATTTGAAAACCATTATTTATAAAATACTACCTTATTTAATAGACACAAAGATAAAACACAGTAAGCTATCTTAAAGAATTTGTTTAAACATGAAAAAATTATATCAAGAATGTAAAAAATAATTATTATACAAAAATGTGTGACGTATTTTTTTGTTTAATAATTATTTTTTACATTCCTCATAATTAATTCATTTATAACAAATATATATATATATATATATATATATATATATTAATAATTTTACATCATTAGATTAGTTCTAATTCACAACTAATTTTTTATGTCCCTAAGCGCATGACAGTGTTTCATGATTTTAAATAAATATAAATATTAATTTCGTAAGAACGATTAAAATAACCTCCTAAAAGAGGATCATGTTCTAATATGTCCTTATACAATTTATTTGAGTATTAACAAAGATTTTTGATTCTTTAATTTTCAAATTATATTTGAATATACCTAAAATAAGAAAATTAAAATATTGGCACTACAGTCACCATAATAATTTTGACCTTATATGATTACTCTCATTGAAATTGTTGAATCTGTTACTAAATTTTAAAAATTAATAGAATATAATGTTGAACTTTTAATTAAATCATCAGAATCAATTTTCCAAAATTTTGATTCCATCTATGGGCGCAACTATTTACATGTGTGTTACACTCGACAACTATATTTTATAGCAGCAATTATTTTAATTAATTGAAATTATAGTGATACGTATCACTAATGTGATTATTTTAAATTAGTTTTTTGCAAATGTTCACAACACACTAAATACTTCAATATAAATAAGTTAATCCACATATATAAATATATATATTTATATACATATGTCCTAAAGTTCGCCATAATTATACAAATGTCAATAGTTTAATTAATTATAGTTATAAAATACTACTTACTATAAATCAGTATCTACATTAATACTATCAGAGCAGCCAAATTTCTTTGTGATGCTTTCGCTTACGGACCGTATATCCAGAAGAGCTAATCCGGGCCAACCATCCACTCCTTCTGAGTCACAGTACATACCACTTAGAGAATCCAGGCTGATAGCTCTGGAACTACTTCGAGATGATATTGAACCATTTTCATGATCTGGGTGATGATATATTGAATTCACATCACTTAGAGCACCTGCAAAAATTAATGGTGCAGATTAATATAATGCTATTCCTGAGTTAATGGTACTTGATTAATAATGTTTCAATATTATTGTCAGCGTATTATATGATACATAAAAAATGCATAGCTCTCAAAAATAAATTTAATCTCTTGTCTGTCCCTCCATCACTCCTCTACTATTACTAATCTTTGAACTGCATCTAATTTTTATACCTTGGATAAATTTATGAAATAGCCCTAATTAACTTTCCGTAGGGTAAGCTATAGTAATCACAAAAAAAATCGAAAATGAAACTTTTTATATATCTTTACGTTTCAAAGGTTTCTGAATATTTTGCCATACCTTAAAAAAAATGGATGTATGTGTGTGTATGCGTGTATGCGGATACAAATTTTCGTCGACAATTTCGAGAACACTAATCAACCGATTTCAATAATTCAAAAAACATTCAAATCGTATTGATAAGCAGGGCCGGTCCTGCCTTGCATGCGATGCATGCAAAAAATGCGGGCGCACGCCTTAGGGGGCGCCAAAACGAGATTTGGAAATAGAATTTATAATATATTATTCACATTTTTTAATATAAAATTTAGAATACTTAATAGATTATAATAAACAATCTAACTTTTTGGATACGTAGACACAAAAAGCATATTCAGTTTGCGATGTGATATCAGTAGAAACAATTCATTACTCTGCAAATTAGTAAATTATTGTTCTGCTTATTGTTTCATGTACTTATTAAATTCTTCTCGTTTGAAGTTAATGTGGACTCAAAAAAGAAATTATCTAGTGTTCAATCAAACCCGTAAGCACAAACCTACGAAAGTTTAAATTATTGGGCATTATTGACGAAAAACTACGAGCTGATTTAGTTTGAACGAAACTTGTTAAAAAAAAATAGATACAAATTATAATATAAAAACATGGAAAATTGGAAGTCAGTGCATAGAAAATGGATAATTAAATTAAGACCGAGAAACTGAATAGTAACTTTTGTTTTTGTTGAAAATGTTTCGCATCTGATAAAATTGGACGTTGAAGACATACATGGTTAGATTTATGGAAATGGAGCAAATATGAAAAATGGAAGCAAAATGTACTAAAAACAAAAATCTTGAGCTTTTTTTATACCTATTGGTGTCCATACTAATTTTAATTATTAACTAAGCAGAAATAATACACATACAAATATAATTGTGTTTTGTTTTCAATATAGTTAAGGAAATATGTAATTTCTTTGCATCTTTTAATAAAATACATTAAAAATTTAACTTTAAAACAACAATCTGATATTCTGAATCAGATGGGAAAGTAAATATGAATACAATTCGTTCCTTACGATAACAATAAGGCGAAGTTTACGATGCAATTTTGGATATCGTAAATAATGAAAAAAAAAAAATAAATAAAATAAAATTTAAAAAATCCAACATGAAAAACAGTGTTCTGTTTAAAAATGAAATAAGTAAAATGTTTTAAAATCCAAATATTAATATTACACATATGTTAAAAATACTTGAAAATGTAAACTATATGGTCAACCCGCAAATCGCTTCGATTTTCTAAAAAAAAATAGAATCAATGTATTTTATAAGCTTTTAGATTATATTTAATTTTTTTTGTACTAAATCCAGAATGATTAACCCCTTCGACTCGGATGCCAAAAATTCGCGAGTGGAAAGTGTTAAAAACTAATTTAAAGAATTTACGTAACTATTTATATAATTTTAATAATAAATGTTAAAACAGTTAAAATTATTGGGGGGGGGGGGGACGCTAGAACAAATCTTGCATGCGGGCGCTGAGGACCCCAGGACCGGCCCTGTTGATAAGGATTAGTTTTTGGCGAAGGTAGGTCTAGCCACTCGGAAGATATGGGGCAAAAAAAACTAAAAACGGTAACTCAGTGTTTAAGAGAACGGAGCGTCCAATTTTAATAATTCAAAAAAACATTTTGCTTGTATTGATAAGTTGAAGAACTGATTAATTTTTTGGAAAAGTAGGTCCAGCGTAGGTCTCAATAAAAATAAGTTAAAAATATGTCATTTGGCGGTCAAAAATGTTTATTGGACATATGTACATCAAATTATTTGATATTTTATAGATATTTTGATAATGTACCAGCAATTTGCCTTAAGGCACGATGCCATGCACCCCACTAGTTATTAATAAATATTACCTTCAGCATCAGTGAGACCAGCTTCATTGAGCAAAGATACATTTTCCAAACCCTGCTCATCCGTTGTATAACCATTAGATTCTCTGTCTGGGCATTCTTGTTCATTGTTTGTATTCCCATCCTCATTTTCTTCATCATCTGACCATTCAGAATGACTACAGTCTCTTGTTGAAACCTTCAAAAAATAAATACAATGTTAGTATAACAATAAATAAAAACGAGCTGTAAGACTCGAAACTTACTTGTTCCTCTTGATCGCCCTCTGTATTATCCTCAACAGATCCACAAACAGATTCGCTGCCCCTTTTTATTTAACAAGAAACGTCAGTTAGGTCAATAATTATATTTCAAACTAACAAAATTTTTACATATCAAACAAAGTTATTTATAATTTTATATTTTAAAAACAGAAAGCATCTCATTTCCTATATGACATTACATCAGCTGCATATAACGAACTCTTACCTAGGTTCTTGACTTCTAGCCAATTCTTGAATAGCTGCCAAACCCACAGAATGTGATACGCCTTCCCCTGCCAACGGCCATTGCCTGCGTTCGAACAAGCGTCGTATTTCTCGTTCAAATTGTCCACTTCCACCTTGTGGATTACCAACTTGTGTTGTTGTTGATGACTCAGAGACTTGATTTTGTTTACGCTTTCCACTTCCATTGTCATTGATCTTATTGATCAAATCGTTATTGGCCAAATATTCAAAACTTTTGCAACTATAACCTGCTTCCACTTCACATGGTGGAGCTACTGAGCCAGCAGTCGTCGTACTGTCTCCACCTGATTAACATTTATATAATATGTTAATAACTTTATCAATAGTTATGGTCCTCTCCCACTTCCATATAAAAGTTCTTGCAACGTATTGGATAGTTTACATATTAAATCAAAATATTCATGCATATGACATCTCACTTATCGTTCATTCGTTCAACATCAGAATTACCTGCTGCGATTTGCATAAGTGCGCCAGAAGGTAAAGGCAGTAGCGAAGGCATCCAATTTGGAGGCTCAAGTTTCTCTGATTCAGTTGACCAACCAGTATCTGGCTATAATTTTGTAAAAAACATATATTATTATACGTAAGTTATTTAATTTAGTTCACATATAAATAATAAGAAAAATAAAACAAAATAATTTCTGAAGTATTTAATATCAAAAAGAGCAGTGAGTAAAAACCATTTTACCTTTAACTGTTTATAAGTTTATAAATCAATTTAACTAAATCTAGTAGAAATCAATTGTTGACCATATTTTTTTAAGCCAGAAACAGGGCAACAATTTTTAGTTATGCTAATCTGGGACGGGACGGGAAGTTTCTTAAGGGGGTCTTCCTATGTGACGGCCTGTTTTTTAGGGATATTTTAGGAGTTTTTTTCTACGACCAGTAAATATTTAGAGCTTCAAGTTTTTTATCATTTATTAACACATATTTGGACAGTATAAATATAAAATTTCAGCTAAAAATATTCAGTCAAACTAGAGTTACAGCGTTCTGAACACCCCCGCCTCGAAAAAAAGAGCTCCCACTTCCTACACGATTCCGGCTGATCGGCTTATCCGAAAAAAAATAACAAACGGCGTTTTAATTTGTAGGCTTAAAAGCACGAAATGACCTATAATCAAATGAATATGAAAAAAATTGGATTTTTGATAGATATTTGAAATAAAAGTTGCAAATTAGGCGTTTTTTTTTGTTTTTTGCTATAAAAAAATCGAAGTTTTGAAAATTTTCGATTCATAATAGTTCATTCCATGCGTTTAAATATATTGAGTGTGCCCTGTAAATTTCAAGTAATTCGGTACAGCCGATTCTGAGATACAATGGAGGAAAGTTTGAAAAACACAGTTTTGAGAAAAACGCGTTTTAGGTTTCAAGTCCGTTAAAAACTATTCGAACCGCTCTTTCTTTTACTTGCTGTATCTTTAAAACGACTTCGATTTTTCTAAAATCGCTTTACTACCGTATTCTAGACATGTTAAGGGAGCAATTTATGAAAAAAAATCGATTTTTTCAACCCATCACATAGGAAGGCCCCCTTAAAATAACAAATGCTATTTAAGGATACAATGAAAAATTATTAATATTTACGTATTAGTTTTAATATTGTTTTTAAAAAATCAGGGACACAAGGTGGAAATCCGCGACTGTCCTGGCCAAACCGGGACGTATGGTCAACAATAATAAGTGATATTGGATTTTAAATAGAATAACTATATTAATTAAAAATCAATTCTGTAAGTTAAATTATGTTGACTCAACATAATTTACCTTACAGAAATTGATTTTTAATTAATATAGTTATTCCCTTAAAAATCCAATATCACTTATTATTTACTTAAATATTTAATCACATTATATATAAGGTTGTTCGGAAAGTCACTTCGATTTTTTTACCACCAGAATTTAACTATATTTTTTTGAACCAAACATTGCACTTAAGCCCTATAATTATTATATGATTTGAAAAATTATATTTATTTATATTTAAAGCTTGTGTCTAAAACATTCTAATCAATCACATGCAGTAGATTTTGGATGATGCCACTTTAAATACGGAAATAATTAAGCGGCATTTTCGACATATTTTACTCTTTTAATATAAAAAAGATAAAATATTGTTTAAATCAAAATGAAATTAACCGATTTGCACGGAAATGTCGTGTTGATAGTACAGCAGTGTCAAAATTGGTATGCTCAATTTTATTCCTGGTATTTTGATATCCAAGATGTACCAAGACCAAGAAGTACGGTTGAAACTGATAAAGATGCGAGAAAGGCGTTGATGCAAACCGGCGAATAACAATACATGAGGATCCTATTGAGTTAAAATTTATCAAATTTAACGGTTTATGACTACTCAAAAGGGTTGCGATTTTCCTCGAAATTCAATTTATGGTTCTCATAGAAAGAAATGTGTGTCCACGATTTTTAATTAATTGGCGTCCACGATTCGCCTCTGAAAGGTCCTGAAAATTATCAGGTCTTGAAGTGAATTGTTACTAGGTATGTCTAATGGGATGTAAAGAATACAGTACACGCCCATGCCCAATTGCCCATGAAACAAAAAATAAGAACCTACTCAAAACAGGTGCAAAGCTTAAATTTGTCAGAAAAAGGTGATGCAGTATGTTTGGTAAGATTTTAAAAAAGTTGTTCATTTTTCTGCTTTTCCCGGATAACAGAACGGTTAATTCGGATGCCTTATGTCATCAGCTGAATAAAAGATTTCAATAGAAAAAGTCAGAACTAACCGACAAGGAAGGTTAAAATCTTGCATCAAAAATACGCATGGCCTCACATAAGTTTCGTCGGTCTCCATCAATAGCTTTTGTAGCGTGAATGGAACCCAATGACACATTTATCGTATTCTCCAAACCTACCATCATCGGATCATTATTTGTTCCGGCCACTAAAAAATTTTTAGGCAATAAACCTGTACCGTAAATCAGCATGTCACAAAGCACTTTAATCAGTTTTTTGCCAATAACGACCAAAAAATTTATGATCTCGGAATTATGCTAATACCAGAAATATGACAAAATATGTTCGAAAATACGTGCCAAAATGCCTATAAAAAACGAAGTTACTTTCCGAACAATCCAATATAATTTCGGCGTGGACGTTAGACGAAACATATAAAAGTTCATACAACTTTTCTTAATGTAATGCCCGCTCACCAGATCAACCGAAAAATATACCTACATATATTATTTACTTTCTAATTTACTCTTATTTCTGGAGACTTATATTTTTGACCTACCTGAATATCACCAGGATATAACCATTTTTTAACTGGGCTGTCCGGTGCGGTGTTACTGTAACTTTCATCAGAACTGCTTGAACTAGTTGATGTTGCAGACTGCATGTGAGAACTTAATTCATCAACGGATGATCCACGAGTATCTAGCATTGAAGATGGTTCTTCACTTCGACGGATATGGTAAGAAGAAACTAACAAAAAAATTAATTATTAATAAATTATATTATTATAATATTTTACATCATTGTTAGTTACTATGTAATTATAAATATTGTTCGTCCATAATATTATTGAAAATATTACTTGTTTTATGGATCGGATTTCATAAGCAGCTAATTCTTAAGTAAGATAAAAATCTTACTTAAGAACTTCAAATAGAAAATTGTCTTAACATGAAGACTAAATGTTAAGATAAAAACTATAAGTTTAACATCTAATAGTTTTACACATTAAAATATAATATTCAACTAGGTGTGAGTAACATTTTGTCTTGGACTAGTTTAACACAAAAAATAGCATCTACTTATGAAGAAAAGGCCTCAAAAATCTTTACCTAAAACTAAAGTAATCAAACCGAATCGTTTTTTAAATCAGTTCAGGAATTCTGCAGTTTTCTCTCTAAAAACTCTAAAGAAACGGCTCGGCAAATCGTTTCTCAAAACTATCCGTCCTTAATGAGTTTCATCGATTGGCCTTTAATTTTTTTAAATTGGTTCAGCCACTTTTGAAAAAACTTTGACGAAAAGTCAAAATTTGGTTCACACACACACTTTTTCTAATTCGAGTTTCAAATGATTCAGAATGATATCCAGAAAACAAAATTAGTAAGTCAGATTTTTTGGCAAAAACATAAACTTCTCGTGTGGGAAGTTAACTAAACACATGTAAAACTAGTTGGTATTGGTATTTTGCCTTGAAGCAATTTACATGAACTTCCGGATTTGTGTAAATAATCAACTTAATCAATAAAAAATAAATTAATTTTTTTATTTATGAGTGATTAAAAGTATTCCGAGTAGATTTATTACACATAATTGAACGTGAACAAACACGTTAACTCGGAGTATTTTCTAAAAGGAAATTTTCACAAATCAATAATTTTTATAATTGAACCAATTTCCGTAGGACTTTAATCGTTTAGTATGTTCATTAAGACCAAGTATTCTATCGTTATACCAAGTAAACCGTCTAATTTTAATTTTAACAAACATCAAAAAAAAATACTCATTTTCTGAAACTTTGATTAATTTTTAAAATTTAAAACTACTTGTCGTAAGGTCGTAAAGTTCTATAAGACCATGATATATATCGCCAAAAACAGTTACGTAAAAATCGGCTTAATTTTTTTTTCAACAGTTAATTACAAGAAAACGGCTCGGTAGATTTTCACCTAAAATTAATCAGTATCATTCCCAACTAATATCTTCCACCCAGTTTTTGATTTTTTTAAATCGATTTGGTAGTATGAGCTTAAATGTGGACGAAAAGTTTTTTCCAAAGAACACTTTTTTCCAAATTACAAAAAAACGGCTCGACCGATCGCTGTACGGAACTGAGAAAAGATAATCCACATCAAAATATATCGATTGGCTTTGAAATTTTTGAAATCGGTCCAGACGTTTTTAAAAAAACGTCGATTTACGGCAAAAAATCTGTTCACATACAAACACACACACACACTTTTTCCAAAATTGATCTCATTCGATTCAGAATGGCTTGAAACGTCGAGAAAACATAAAAATAGCAAATGGGATTTTTTTATGAAAACAAACTTCTCTTTTTTAATTTAATGTCAAAAATAGAAAAAAAAAACGAAAGAAGGAAATATAATACTTGCCATGATCAGGTAGTGGAGGCTTAGGAAGTGGTTTAAGAAATGGCTCCATTTGCGAATGGTTTAAACTACTTTGTACTTGTTGATTTGTTTGGTCGAATATAGTGTGTGTAGAAGGCTCTGGGTGATACACATGTTGGCAGTTCTTTTGCATAGGTAGAACCTAATGGAAAAATGAATATAGTAATATTTTTTAACTTAAATTATATATTATATCAACATCAAATTTAAGATTTTATATATATATATATATATATATATATATACGAGGTCTGTTCAAAAAGTACCCGGAATTTTCGTTTTTTCAAAAAAATATTTATTTATTCGTCTACATTAATGTGGTCCCCTTCAAAGTAGTCCCCCCCAGATATAATACACTTATGCCAGCGTTTTTTCCAATTTTCGAAGCACCCTTGATATTCACTTTTTGATATGTCCTTGAGCACTCTCAGCGATTTTCTTCAATCGAGGAAAACCGCCGTCCTTTCATGGGTCTCTTCAACTTTGGGAATAGGAAAAAGTCACACGGAGCCATATCTGGTGAATTTTTGCACTTTGCAACACTTTATTTCATTTTTTACGCAAAATTTAATACAAATTCTTTGACTTTTCAATTCTTCCATTGTAAAAATCGCCGAGCTCAGAAAAACAACGTCGAACCTTAGCGACTACCACAGACAAAGTAAACAGTGAATATAGCTGAAAATTTCATCATACTTTAGGGGCATGTATACCAACACAATAAAAAAAAATTTTGACAATCAGACACTCCAGACCCGCGAAATTTAATTATTAGTAATTCCGGGTACTTTTTGAACACACCTCGTATATATATATATATATATGCCTAACATCTAAAATAATACTTGCCTTAACTATATGAGGTCCATTGTTTCCACTATAAGGTAAAAGTCTACTGCTTTCTCCCATGTTAGAATTTCCCCGATTTAACATTGAGTGCTGAACATATTTTGCAGGAACACATTGCTCATAACGATGCAGGGGTTGATTCATCATTTGATGGTTTATTATTCTACCAGGTGTCACTCTGCCATAAGTTGCACCTAAAAAATGTGGTTACAAGAATAATATAAAAATGTATAAAATGACTGTGTGCTAGTAAAAATAGTTTAGTAGTTCAGAAAAATTTTAAATACGGATACAAAGGAAACTAGTTGAAAGTAGCATTTTCCCTAAAGGTAAGTTGTATGAATTTCCCAATACGTACACATGATAAACTTCATCAATAAGAATTGGGATTTAGTGTGTGTTTGTGTGTGTGTGTATGTTTGTATCAGTTTAAGAAATTACAGAACTTCCTGACAACATGGAAAATGTTGATAAAATGCATTCAGTAATATTTTAGAAAGTTGTAAAGTAAGATATGTAACAAATATATTCAGTTTCGTTCTTTACGTACAAAATAATGTTAATCTAATGTTTAATATACCTGTGCTAAACTGATGGTCTTGCCTTTCAACAACAAGGTATGTCATTGTATCCCCCTTTCCTTTAATCTTCACCATTCCTCTACATTTGAAGTTGTAATGTGTATCTCGAATAACATGAGCTACATTTTCAGTAACCTGTGTGAGACCAGCCAAACCTGTTGAGTCCATGTGGTAGGCGATATTAACAGTTTCACCCCATATGTCATATTGAGGTTTATTAGCTCCTATCACACCTGCTATTACTGGACCAATGTTTACACCTAAGAATAATAGTTATAAGTAATAAATGTTAAATAAAAAGTCTGCTTCATATTCACCTAATAATATTAACATTTCATAAAATTATTGAAAATTATAATTACCTGCTCTTAACATAAAATTTCTATATGTAGATGTATTAAATGTGAGAAGCCGAGCATGCATAGCTTGCGTAAAATCGAGAAGAATAGTAATAAATTTTCTTATTGAATTATTATCTCCATGATTAATCTTATGTTCTGGACTCAATCCCACAGCAGCCATGTATGTGGACCCAAAACATTTGATCTTATCAATTGCTCCAAAACAATCTTCTTGCAACAGCTAAAATGATCATAAAAATTATAAGTGATAAAAGTAAATATTACATAAATAACTATTCAGAATAATACACACACACAAATATATATTTTATAACAAACCTTATCAAAATCGCATATGATTTCATTTAATTGGCGCAAACAATCAAGACCATTGGTGCTGCTTTCCATATCAGTGCAGAACTCATGGTAATCTGTCACTGTTGCAAAAAGTACTCCAACATAAGCATAGCTTTCGCAATAGAGATCCTGCACAATAAATAAAATATTATAGCAAATTATCATGGAAGTTTTTATGAGCGGCTGAACTGTATTTTAAAGGCATTGTAGATGGTGTTAAAATGCAATTCATCATTATTGAATGTAAATAAAACAATTATCAAAACAAAATTTTATATTGTTTATATAATATTAAACAATATTATATTGCTTTTTGGTTAAAACCGAAAAATGGGTTGAGTCCATATACATCAAACAAAATCTTACTGTGCTTCCTGGTCTTCTTTGTTTCTCTAAATAGAATTGTGTCACGTGCTGAGGTAAGAGATCATGCAATAGTCTAACACCAGACTGTTGTAAAACATTGGCCTCATGTCTTGCACGATTTGCCTCATTTTTTCTCAAGTAACACAGTCTCATAACTCTCTCTAAACATCTTCCATGAAGACCAGAAGCAACCAAAAACATCAATAATTGTACCAGACTTGAAGTATGAGCTGGAACTAATGATCTGCAAAATAAGAAATTATGTATGAAACTTGTCCAAATAAAAATATGTAGAAATGTCTCTGATAAACAATAATCAAATTTGGAATAACAAAAGCTTAATTATGTTCACATAAGCAAGTATTTGCATATGTAAATTAAGGTTTAAGTTTTTGTTATTCAAAATATTAACAATTATCAAGTCAATCTCTTCAAAAGTACTTTCAATTAAAGTACTTTCTTTAATATTCTATCCTCTTCACTAATTAATTACAATAATTAGATCAGAGTAGTTAATTTATTAGATTATTAATTTAGAAACATTATTTCTTTGATAAAAAAATGGTATCAAAAAGAATTATATACTCAGCAATCCAAATTTAATGTCTGAGTAATATAAATTATTGATAGAACTATCATCATGTTAACATAATATACAATGACTCACCTGACTATTGAATCATAACAATGGAATAGATCAATATGAGAGAGCTGGACAAACAATGTATAACAAATCATGATGAAGATCAAAATAGATAACTTTGCCCATAGTAATAATTTAAAAAATACAGCAACGGCTAACCCTGATAGAATGCCTCCAAGGGGTACATATATAGGGACTGGGCAAGACAAATGATCATTAACTGAATGTGCCTGAGATATTTCACATGAAGGATTGGGCAAACAAGTGAACTGAAAAATAAAATTAATTATATAATAAAAAATTATACATCAACTTTCCATATAGTAGAATGAAAGCAGGTAATAAAATCCTATTTAAACACACAAAGGATTAAGATCCAAAAAATAAGAAAAACATTCAATTTATTATTGTGATGATTACCAATCGCTAACATTATTTTAACATTTAATCAGGTATACAGACAAAGTATGTTTTTTTAACAATATAGATATAAACTGATTTCAATATAAAATCATAAATGAATAATCTACTCACCACATTCAAAATTGATACTGAGAAAACAAGTAAAACAGTAAAAATTGTCAACGCTAGTCTTAAAGTAAAACTTTTAGTAACATCCCAGAATATCCATTGTAACCTTGCTGCTAGTAATAACATCAGTAATGAAGTGACCCAGGCAAAGGCCGTTAAGAAAAGCAGTAGTAAAAATAAAGTTCTAGGTAGCATAAGGCCTTGGATTCCTGCACCACAAACAACCAATATCAAGCAACACCAAAGAGATGCAGCAAATTCTGGGTCACATTCATGACGATACTGGAAAGTTACCAATGAATAAGTATAATAATTCTTTCTTATTGAAACATATTTTACAAATAAGCATGTGTAATTTATTAAAAATTATAAATACCATGGCTTCATTCTGCTTATCTCGAAGACATAAAGTCAGATATCCTATCTGAGCATCGTTTTCTAAATCCAAGTATTGAGCTTCTATGGCTGTTGCTAGATTTCTATCAATGCGGTTGCTTGTATGCAGATTTCTTAGAACATTGCAAGATCTTTTCTTGAAAGGTCTTAGATTTGAAACACCAGTAACCTAAAAACATATATTCTAAATTAAATTTTATTCCAAAAAAAATAATTCCTGTTTTCTTCAAATAAAAATTCAATAATGGGAATGTGAAAATATGCAGAGTAAAAATTTTGAAAAAAATTATTTATGTTCATATTAAATCATCAAAATTTACTATCAAATAAATTAAATTACCAACATTTGAAATATTTTGTTTTAAGTTTTTTTCCATCTTTCTTATTAAGGCAACTTTTAAAAAAAATGTTGAAGCTCAAATTTTATTTCAGTGAGTTAAACCTATTTCATATTCCTTGTAATTATTCTCATTTAATTAGTCATAATTAAAATCTTGCAACGGTTTGAAATAATAGGATTATGTATCATTCAAAATCATGAATTATAAATACTTTAAAGAAATATATCTATAGGATTATCAGATCAGACTGATTAAAAATTAGTGTCCATAGCAGTATAATATTTTCAAGTTAGTATTAATTTCCAAAATTATTTTATGCTAACATACTTTAGAAGCTGAAGAATCAGCATCAACTCTTGGTGCATTAGCACTCTCATTTTCACCGATGAAAGCAAATGGAATTTCCGCTCCAAATTTTATGTTGTGCAGTAATTGATTTATACTCGCAACTTTTCTAATAGATAATTCGTGTTTTTGCAGCGTACCCAGTGGTGCATTCATTTCCAAAGTGCATAATGCGAGCGCCTATAATAAAAATTAGTAAATTAGAAAACAAGTTAGTAATGTATGGCGTTATGCCTTTAGCAAATTATTTGAACTTTATAGATGAACGAAAAAGTAATATTTTTTTAATCTTTAGAACTTCAAACAAAATATTCTGCACACCAGTAACTGCGTTAAATGATAATGTTGCAAATAGGGGATAATTGTTTATCAATGTCAAAGACACAAATGCTTTGAAATATCATTTGTCTCGCCACTAGGATAAACTTAAATTTTACCTAATTGTATTTGTATAAAATATTTTAAATTATTTATGATAGTAGTTAATTCAATCTTGAAGCATTTTGCTGCAACATACGGAAATAGTATGTTATATGTGTGCAGGAATAAGAACATTGTATTTATATATGTATATAAAACTAAAATATATGTATATAAAAAGATGTTATATGTATATTTGCATATACCAGACATATGCTGATTTAATAATCAACATATTAAGTGAAACAAAGTACCTTTGTATAGTTTTTTTAATAAATTAAAACAAACTCACTTTTCTTCTGCGTGGTGGTGGGACAATATAATATGTCCCTCCTGGAGCATCTGTTACGTCATACTCGCCCGTCAACGCATCAATGGTGGCTCTGGACACGTGAACTTTACCAGCGTCTCCTGACATTTGCAATTTCTAGCCATGGATACATTTTTTGACCAAATATCAAATTGTCTCCTTTTTATTCCTGATACGTAACATGTCGCAGAACCGGAGTGAATTCCAACTCGAATACTCAACGGAGCATTTGTTTGACCAATCATTTGACTTCAAAATTTCAAGATTAAATAGCATTAAAAATAAGTAACAAAAAAGATGATTACTTAATTAATGTAAACACTATTTGCACAGAAAATGCTTGCAGCGTGAAGTTATGAACACTTATGTAAACAGTATTCAAACTCGATTGTAATATTGACAATAAAAGATTTTCAGATATTTATTACACATTATTACATTTTGTGCGACATAATTTAAACAAAATTATGATAATTTTCTGTGATACCTATAGGTAATAAAATGAAAATAGCACCCATAAGACGGAA